CGAATGCCAGCGCGTCCGCGCGATCGCTAGGCACGTCGGAACTCACGGAGCACTGACGAGCGGGAGCGGCAAGGAAGGCTCATAAAGTCGGACAAACAAGAATAATGAGTAAATTGCGAACAAAAGGGTGGATTTATTCTATTGACTATGCAACGATCGCACTCGAGTTTACAGCTGAGCGAATCGTTACTGGTGTATAAAGAGTATCGCACTCGAAAGCACAGCCGAGCGATAATAGCGCGAATCAGCCGTGCGCGGAACGAAGTGCTCGGACACGACTGCCGAACGCGACTCACTCGGCGGCGTATACACTGTTTACGCGTCTCGCCCCCCGACTTGTCCTTGCGGAGCACGCGGCCTTATGCGTGATCGCGGCTCAGATCGAGCGCCAAGGAATTCCCACACGAGTCAAGGGGAATACGGGGATTTCCAACAATTAGCAATTTTTATACCTCTTGTCGTGTCCAACGCTTTCTATAAGCAATTAATAATTGCTTTATACGCTGTCGCAAGAGACATCCCACATACATCTCAGCGTTATAGGGCTCAGATGCCAAATTGTAGAATATAATTATTAATCCTCACCGGACAGCGTGCCATACGAGAAACACACAAATGCAAAACCTGTACAACTCAAAAACATGATACTGAAAGGGGTTTACGAGGAATTCCCCGAAGTCTCTCTTTAATAAGAGGCGACGGAGGATAGGATCAGGGATGGTCGGTTGGTTGGATTTAAGGCTCGAGAAGAACTGGTACTAATAAACTATTTTACTGAAACACAGACTCTAGTTTAATGTTCAATGTCTTTACACTTGGCTGATACAAAGGCTCTCGGAACAGCACCGCGCGCTATTCCTTCACGACGGAGAGTGCTCCGATTTCCGCGATCGGGAAGCACGTACGCTCGCTCCGCGGGTTCGCGCCTGCGCGATACGAAGCGCCGTTTTACTGGCCGCTCGCTTCTGCGACATGCGCAATCCAGTGCTCGATAGAATGGGTGATCTGCGCCGGCGCGTCTCTCACCTATTCCTTACAGCTCGGCCGTTCTGGCTTTCAACTTACGTCGCGTAGTTGCAGCCTTTCCACAGCGGTTCTCAAATCGGGGGTCACTGTCACGAGGTAAGTATATTTATCCTCCCCTTCTTTCGTGGGTGTGTCAATTCTTTGGATTTCTTATCTTAGCTCGCGCGCTGTCTCTTATATTTAGGTTAGGCCTATTTCTTAATTCTAACTTAATTCTACTTAATACTACTTGCTCTCAGCCGGGATCACAAGGGACGAATGAGTACCCTTACTCTCGATACGCAGTAGCGTGACGTCGTGTGGTATCTCGTCGGCTTGTGGTTCTGGCTCAGGTAATTACAGATTCACTTATCTGATTTCGCTCGCGTAGACCTAATTCTACTTTTCGGTTTTAGCATCGCCGATCCGTATCCAGGGCTTCAACCTGTCGGAGGAAAGGATCGTGTCAAGGGGCTTTTGGGTGTGGCTGAAACCAGGTATGTCCCTAACCACGTATCGGTTATTCCCCAATACTTTAGCGATTTGGTACGGTCCTTTATAGCCGGGTTTAATCTTAGTACTTTCGCCGGGTTTATTTCGGTCGTTTCTAATTAGTACATAATCGCCGTCGCGGTAGATCGACGGTTTTTTGTGTCGGCTGTCGAAATACTTTTTATTATATTCCCGCAAAAGTTTAGTCGCAGCTTGCGCTGAATCTCTACTTAATTCTCTTTCCTTTTGCAGGTCAGATTCCGTTTCCGCCAGCGCTTTCGTGAGCTGAGCGAGCGCGAAATCTGAGTGGTTCCGCAGGTCGTAGCCAAGCAGCAACTTAGCGGGAGTGGTTTTCACGCCTGAGTGGTGAGTATTATTTATTACATATTGAATCGTGCCTAATTTCGGTTTCCACTCGGCCGGCTCGATAATCAATTTAATGAGTGACGTCTTTATAAATCGATTCACCCGTTCGACTATGCCGTTAGCCCACGGGGCGGCCACGGCTACTTTTCGGTGTTTAACCCGAAGCCTTTCCGCGAAGTCCGCGAATTTTTTCGAAGTGAACGCGGTTCCCCTGTCTGAAATCAATTCTGTCGGTCTGCCGAATGTATTAAAAATTTCGTTTAAATACTTTATTGCCTCTTTAGATCCTGTGGACTTTATAGCATGCAGCCACGTGAACCGGGTGAACGCGTCGACCGCTACTAACACGTGCCGGAATCCGTCGGCGGACTCGGGCAGTGGACCGAGGTGGTCGACGTGCACCGCTTCCATCGGCGCGGCAGGAAGCGGGGCAAGTTGCGTCTCGCCCTCGAGCCTATTCGATGCGCTGTTCGCCATCACACAGGTGAGACAATTTTCTACATAATTATGGATTTCTTTCCGCATAGATGGGAACCAGAAGTTCTCCGCGATTCCCTTATAAGTCTTTTCCGGTCCGCAATGCGCCATCTCATCATGGTGCGCTCGGATCAAGCTTGTAATTAGTGAATCGGGCACAACGAACTTCTTCTGGTTCTCATCTTTCTTGTATACTAGACCGTTAATCAAATCGAACTTTTTGTCCTCGCTTAATTCTAATTTCTTGCTGATCTCCAGAATTCTCGGATCAGTCAGCTGTCTGAGCTCCAACTCCCGTTCGAGCGGCATTTCGTGCACATAGGCTGTGCATCTGCTCAAAGCATCTACGTGTGCCATGCGCTTGCCCGGACGGTGAGTCACACGGAACTTATAATTCTGGAGCATCAGCGTCCATCTCGCTATCCGCGGATTGAGGTTCGCCTTGTTCATCGCGTATACTAGCGCGTTGCAATCCGTCACTATGGCGAACTCCAACCCGTAGAGGTAGAGATGGAAACGCTCGACTGATCTTACGATTGCCCAGCATTTCCAGCTCGTAGCTGTGGTAACGCTTCTCGGCTTGATTCGTGCCTTGACTATAGTAAGCGACGGGAGACTATAAATTATTTTTCTGTTTCTGCAGGAGGATCCCTCCCAGGCCCGTACTACAGGCGTCAGTGTGCAGTTCTGTCGGCGCGGCCGGATTATATAACTGCAGCACCGGAGCTGAGGTCAGTTCCTGCTTTAATTTATTGAACGCTTCGACGCAACGGTCGTCGAAGTTGAACGGTACGTCTCGCTTTACTAAGTCCTGTATTGGCTTTGCAATGTGCGCGAATCCTTTTATAAATCGCCGGAAGTAATTAGTTAATCCTAAAAATCTTTGGACTTCTAACACGGTTCGCGGTTGCTTAAAATTTCGGATCGCGTCCGTATGCCTAGGGCTCAAGCTGATTCCGTCAGCGGATATCATATACCCTAAAAACTCTATTTCCTTTTTCAGGAATTGACATTTCTTATAATTTAATTCGAAGCCGTACTTTCGGAGAATCTGAAGGACCTCTCGTAGATCCTCTAGATTCTGCTCACTCGAACGGGACGCTATTAGTACATCGTCCATGTATATCAAGACTTTATCGTCGCGGATCAATGGGCGGAGAATCTGTATTAAGCGCTTCTGGAATTCCGCGGGAGATTCACAAAAGCCAAAAGGTAATCGCGTGTATTCGTACTGCCCGTCCGGCGTCGCAAAGGCAAAGTACTTGGTCGAGTTTTTCTCCACTTTTATTTGGTGGAAGCTATCTTTTAAATCTAGCAGTGTAAATATGGTCTTGTCGCTTAGCCTAGTCAAGCACTCCTCAATTACCGGGAACGGGTATTTTTGCCGTTCGACTCTCGCATTCAACGGCCTGAGGTCAACGCAAAGTCTCATCTGCCCGTTTCGTTTCCGTACAGGCACCACCCGGGCGCAGTACGGTGAAGTGCTCGGCTTAACGATTCCGCGGGCTAAGAGATCGTCTACGACTTCTCTTATTTGAAGTCGCTCCGCGTACGCAAATCGTCTCGGCGAGAAGGAGTACGTCGAGGTATCCTTCAGCCGAACTTGAATCTCGTACCCGTCGTCTACAGGTACGCATTCCTTTGTTCGTTCGTTTATGATTACGTCCTTCAATTTTCGTTTGTCTGTTTCGTCCAAGTCTGTACTGTTATTGTCGATCGTCTCCTCTAAAGACTCTGGAATGTTCGATTCCACGCACAAGGGAAGTTGGGCAAACAACTTGACGTTTTCCCTCTCACCTTGACTCGTCGGCTTGAAGATCAGAGTGAGTTTATGTTCCTTTAGGAATTCTCTACCGAGAATAATATCTCCTTCGAAAGTGTTCTCCTTGAGAACGTGTAAATTTACTTCGAAAGCTCGGTTCGGTATTAATGGTAAACTCACTTTGGCCTTAACGGTCCCGACGACTTCTAATGTTTGATCGCTTAGGTTTCTAAGTCGATTTTTATACGGGGCTAACTCTAAGTTTAACGGCTTTATCCACCGTTCATAAACACTAAATTTCGCGAATGACACAGGGCTTCCTGTATCCACCAACGCTAGTAAGTTACATCGCTCACCGTTGATGTCTTCTACTTCTACCAGAGGATCGGTGATCTCGAGGCGGTTCCTTGGCTGCTCCACCGACGCCACGACCTCGTCCGCTGATGACGGCTCCTGCGTCACGCTCGCCGCTGCTTTGGCCGTTGCGGACGACGTTCCCGGCTTCTCCTCCTTCCGCTTCAGGGCCGGACATTCGAACCGTCGATGCCCCTTCCTTTTACAGTAAAAACAGCTTGGCTCTGCGTGGCATTCCTTCATGGTGTGGCCCTTGGTGCCGCAATTCCGGCATGGTGAGTCACCTTTTGGTTTGGCGCTCGTCCCCGACGACGCCGTTTTCTTCTCCAGGTCGACTACACCTTCTGCTATGCTTCTCATCCTTTCTAGGAAGCTATTGAGTGGCTCCGCCGAGATCGAGAGTGCTGTAGCCTTGACCGCGCTGTTGTTGATTCCGCCTATCAGAAGCTGGATGGAATCGGGCTCAAGTAGGTTGAGTACCTGTATCAGCGCCAATTTCTCGATCGCGTAGCGGTCGAAGGTTTCCTTCCCCGACTGCCACTTCCTGGCTTCAATCTTCTGCATCGCTTTATAGAATGGTATTTTCCTGTCGAATACCTTGATTAATTCCAGACGTAGGCCGGCCCAGGATTCAATGGCTGGTCCGGTCTGGAGCTCGTACCATCTCCGCGCGGACTTGGTGAGTTTGCTCGATGCTGCCAGCAAAGTCACGCCGTCCGTCGCGCCGTGGACTTGGGCGACTTTGTCCACCCGTCTCGTCCATGCCTGTACGTGGTCGTCTTCCTCGCCTGCGAACTCCGGGATCTGCGAGGAAAGGCAATTTACCAGGCTTCCAACCGGCGGGCCATCTCCAGCGCTTCTCGGAAGCGTCGGGGTCCGCACGGGCGTTGAGCTGGCCTGTGGGTTGGCCACCTCCTGGTTCTCGGCTGCGCCCACGGTAGGTCTGGTCATCGGCTCCACCACGCTTCTTGTGGCCGTAATTAACAGCCTTTCGAACTGCTCCTGTTGCAGCTGATGCGCCAACCTCTGCTGCTCGAGCATCCCCTCGATTGCCGCCAGGACTTGGCGCAGCAGGGGCGTTGATGCCTGGTCCAAGGAGCCTGTCGAGGCCTTCCTTTGTTGGCTCGCCGCCACTGCCCTCGCCGCCTCATCCTGCAAGTCACGAGGCCCCCGTTGCCCGAGGTGCCAAATGATGTTTTCAATAAGCGTTTTCCGGTCACCTGTAACGGGCAAACCGTACTTATTTGATTCTTCTTGTAGCTGCTCCAACGTACACGCTTCAAACTTTGCCTTGTCCATGGCTAGTTTCTGGCGTGTCTCTTCCACACGTTTCTGGAGTTCTTCTCGGTCCTCCTGAGGCGGATAGTGGGTTGGAATCCCATTTCTGAAATAACTGAAAGGGGTTTACGAGGAATTCCCCGAAGTCTCTCTTTAATAAGAGGCGACGGAGGATAGGATCAGGGATGGTCGGTTGGTTGGATTTAAGGCTCGAGAAGAACTGGTACTAATAAACTATTTTACTGAAACACAGACTCTAGTTTAATGTTCAATGTCTTTACACTTGGCTGATACAAAGGCTCTCGGAACAGCACCGCGCGCTATTCCTTCACGACGGAGAGTGCTCCAATTTCCGCGATCGGGAAGCACGTACGCTCGCTCCGCGGGTTCGCGCCTGCGCGATACGAAGCGCCGTTTTACTGGCCGCTCGCTTCTGCGACATGCGCAATCCAGTGCTCGATAGAATGGGTGATCTGCGCCGGCGCGTCTCTCACCTATTCCTTACAATACATCATTGCATTCCTCTCTGCTACCAGGTGTTCACAGAACAGATGTTTAAACCTAATGTGTGCCACAGTATCCTAGTACACCCTTATCATATTTTTCGTACTAAATATATGTCAATTTCCCGAAATTCGTTCTTTGAACAGAGTAACAATGAGTATAAGTAAACTTCTGTCATAATTTAAAGGAGCTTGGTAACTTAACCTATACGTGAGCACGTATCTGATCACATACAAAACAGGAACTGCTCCGTACTGCCAAAGTGGCAGTACTACCTTAAGTTAGAACGAAAGTACGCTCGGTGTTACTTCATTCCAAGAACGAGATTCTAGAAATTGACGGATATATTCGGTACGAAAGTTATGACAATGGAGCATTAAGATACTCTCACGTGTATGAGGTTAGAATGTTTGTCATATATACATTTGGCAGTACGGAGAAATGCCAATGATAGAACATCTTTATGTTATTTACAGGTATGGCAATTGTGTGCTTTTCTTATGGCATGCTGTCGAGAAGGAATTAATATCAATGCTGTAAATTTCGCTGGTGAATCTTATAACGCTGACTGCGATGAGTGGTCTACATCGCGAGTCGCAGACTCGTAGTCGTAAGAATTATCGACTGTGATTCGTCAATTCCGTCAGAAACATAAGAATTGACCAACCAGAATCGATTATTATCACTAATACGACTCTGCCGCTCGCATTGTAAACCCCGCATGAGATGTATGTGAAACGTCTCCTGTGAAAGTCTATAAT